ACTCTGAAAGATATTACAGTGACCTTTATTGAAGTCACACTCATGGATAAAACTTAACGCAGTTGTACCTTTTAACATATATATCGGGATTCAGACAATAACTCTGAAATTTATTATAGTGGCCTTTATTGAAGACACACTCATGGACAAAACTTAAGGAAGTTGTACCTTTTAGCATGTGTATCGGGATTCAGACAATAACTCTGAAAGATATTACAGTGACCTTTATTGAAGACACACTCATGGACAAAACTTAAGGAAGTTGTACCTTTTAGCATGTGTATCGGGATTCAGACAATAACTCTGAAAGATATTACAGTGACCTTTATTGAAGACACACGAGATAACCAAGTGTGATCAATATTACCTCTGTCTCCAGAAACAGATTACCGGCTCAATTAAAGCAAACAATGATTTAAACTATTTTTATTATTCCTACCACACGACTGCAAAAACAATACCATTGCCATAATACTTATGTATTCATCAAAAAATTCGTTTAATTATAATTTCTCAATTTCAAAAGAATTTAACATATTGTGTAGCGGAGATTTATTATTTTACATTAGTATTAACAGAGTATCATTTTTATGTTTATATTTTACTACTCTGTAAACTTCCCTCATTGCTTATATTTTGTTTATCCTTCATAGTTTGTTCTTGCCTTAAATAAATTGATGTTTCATCCTGAAGTTTGTCTTCCCTAATTTTCCACGTGGCAATATATATTAAATTTTATAATGGAATGTCACTTGTTTTGATAACAGAAGAGTAACTCTTAAACTTTAGTCCAAGTTTATTATTGTGGAACGATTCCACGGTAATTGACTTTTTTTTTGGAATTGTAGAATTTTTACGTCTATTATTACTTTTTTTTTTTATCATAACTATATATGTAAGGGACAATAAAAAACAAAGAGAATTATTCCTAAAAAAAGCATAGAGCTCCTCACATGTCAAATTAAACGTCAAAACTAGACGCCATCTATTGACCGTCGCCGCAAACTAGCGGCTTCAGGTCGTTAACAAAGCCACAACACCAGCTTTGGCAAACTGAGAAGCGTCTACCTAGAGACCATGGTTTCGGGCTAATGGCCCTCGTCAGTCTAGGGCGGACTTTATTCAATGAGATCCACACGGGATCTAATGGAATCTCCACAATCTACCAAAGAGGTGTTTTACTGGCAAGGTGGATAGGCCAAATCTATGGTCAAATTATAAATTGTTGTCCCAAAAGTTCGTAAACACTTGCAAAAAAAAATACCAATATTATTTGCCGTTATGTATAATGTCTTTGTATTATATATAAAGTAATTGTATTATTATGTATAATAATAATATTATTATTATTATATTCGCCAAGTAATAAGAAAAACAACATTTTAAGAAAAACACAAACTTTTGGGATAACCTTATAGATGGAAAATTGACCAAAAAACGTTTTATTTGACGGGAGAAAAGCCCTAGATCATTTTCCTTCCGATAAATTTTCCATCTATTACTTTTATTATAATTGCTTTAAAGTAACTTTGTGAAATTGGAAATGACCTGAAGTAACAAATACTGATGACAATCATTCCATGACACGCTGGATATTCCCCTAGCACCCCTCGCACGTAACAGCGGGTATTCTTATCACGGCATTCCAGTGACGATGTCCTTGTGGCTATTTCGGTCTGTCGCCCAGGACCCATTGATCCTGCCAATATTCGCTGCGGTTTATCCACATAGACCGTTATATTTGACGATCCATTCTGTCGTTGGAATCTCTAAGCGCAGCTATTGAAAGCGTCATGATAGGTTATGAAGATTGAAGAACTGTCTGATATCATACAAGTTCTATATTGCAGAGTCGAACAAGTTGGAATAAAGTCTGAAAAGTCGATTTATATTCAGGTTCTATCCTGCAGAGAAATTATCGTTAGATACATCAAGAAGCAATAACGTAGATTCCCATGCTTGGACACTTTTATTTTTCCGTTCATCATTACTCTCCATAATTCACCCTTTCATACCTCATCCAAAAAGGTTAGAAATAGTCAAAATTTCACCTTAAAATAAATTTTGATTTTTCATTGAAAAGAAACTCATGCGGTGTAACTTCAAGTGTTGTTTTACAATCACAAGCCGCAGTGTTTTTTATATATTATAACGTAGATAGAGTTGAAATGCATCCTATAGCGATAGCGTTCATGGAAATTAAGAACAATATTATATTGTCATACAGTAAACTTTCCTATAACGCGATTAATGTGTTCCGTGTTGTATGAAATCGCGTTATAGGTATTCACGTTGTACGAAATAAAACTTGTATAACGCGAATGTTGTTAGGGTAAATTGTTAGTGACAAATATCATGTATTTTATTTTATAACGCGTTATACGAAAATTCGCGTTGTATAAATAAATTTGTCGCAATTTTTTTTATCGCGTTGTACGAAATCGCGTTGTAAAAACTCGCGTTATAGGAGAGTCTACTGTATACTATTTGTATGGATAACGTTACACACTGTTTGTACGGATAACGCTACATACTGTTTGTAAAGTCTATTTGTTCCATAAACATTAAGAAGCGAATGTCTCTTTTCACAAATAAATCAAACTTCTAATGTCCTAAAAACTTATGTCCAAAGTTTGTTCAAATACCATTTCAAAGATTCCATCCTTCATTGTAGTATATAAAAGCAGAATGATCCAATACAGTATTAGAATTCTAAAGAAGCGATCTGGTAGATTAAAAATTGGCGAAACCGCTGGTAAGTTCGCCACTGATGAACCAAGCTCTCTCAATAGTTTTTTTCATCGCAGTAAGGACAGTAGAAGTTTGATTGAAGTGTGAAAAGAAACAATCGCGTCATAATGTCTTCATTATGTCTTTGTAATAAGTAATATATATTTCTATAAAAAAAAGACACTTCGGCCAGGTAAAGATTTATTTTCTCAAAGTTTCAACAAAAAGATTTTGTTTTCGTAAGAAGAAATAAATAAAAATAAAGTATTTGGCGTTATAAGCATTAAACGAAGACAAAAGATTTTTGTTGAAACGTTTAAAAAATAAAACTTTAACTGGCCGAAGTGTCTATTTTCTTAAAGAACTATGAATTCCGGCAAGACAACCTCTTTCCTCAATATTAGATTATATATAAGAGTATTATATAATCTAAAATGCAAATATTTTATTTTTTTTAAAAACATATATTTCATTTTCATTCATTGACTGTTTTATATATTTTTGACCATAGATTTAGAATATACGATTTAATTATTGTTGTAAATATGTATAGTTAACCCTACCTTTTTTTTTTTTTTAAATCACGATTATAGAATTCATTCTATAAATTCTATATTGCTGTGATAAATAATTTTACGTGTAATTTGCTTCAAGTAATTCAAAATAAAAACTACTTGAAAGGTAAATAACTATCTTTCTTTTTTCACGACTGCACCTCTTTTTCAACAACAAAACACAAAAAATAATCATAACATATATATATATATATATATTAGGTAAAAGAGAAAGATAAATTAACCCACATGTCATAACACGACAATTCCAAGATAACAAGGAGGTACAAATGAAAATTGGGAATTGTAACTATGCAAATATCTCCAGAAACTTATTTACATAGATGACGAGAAAGAGTTTCGAATTGGAATCACGTCTGCGATTAAATTCTACCAGGATTGTCAATTTGAACTTTCCTAATTCCTTCTCAACCCTGCGTGTTGAATTTCCAGTTTTCACAAATTATTATATAGTGTCTTTTGTTTTATTTATTTATTTATTCTTCCCAATAAAAACAAAAAGATGTATTAAGACATTTTGGTCTTATATAGATTCTCCAAATAGAAGAATGTATACACAGGAATAAAATAGTATTAGTAACAATAATCATAGTAACAACGAAAATAATTCTAGTAAATTAAAATTAATTGCCATCTATCGTTAATATTTTACACATATAAATTACTGGCAATGCGCTTGGCATATTTGTTATGAAAACATATTTTGCGGAAGAGCTTTGCTCGATGCAATACCTTGAAATTATATGTATGTTCCTCTACAGACCTATAAGCTTATGTCCATAGTTCACTAAACACCCCTAAGCTGCCTTCCATAGAAAATACAGGGTATATTCCAATCTAATACAATAGTAAAGCGGTCTAGAGATTAATTTGGCGAAACCGCTGAGAGGGTTCACTACTGATGAGCCAAGCCCTCTCATTCAATAATTCATATCATTGCAGTGAGGTCTGTAGAGATAATATTTGATGATATTTAAAATAAGCGCATTGCCAGTAAATTTATTTGTGTAAAATATTAAAAATAATTCTGACAATCAGCATTCCTGGTTGCATTAAGAGTAGTAGAATATTGTTTAATTTTGATGATAATCATGCTTGTCTGAAATAGTTTCAATTTTTTTATTTTTTTATTTTTATTTTTTTTTATATTGATGCCCAGGGTACCGCTTCTGAAGAGAGCAATCTCTGCAATTAAAACTTGGGCGATATCAAGCTTGTCAATCGTCAATATGTGTATAGGAACTGTACTTCAATAAGATATTGTTGACGTTGATGACTGAGGGGTAAAACAGGCCTTCTTCAGTAAATTCAAATATTGATATATATTTAGAGTAAACTAACATAAACCTTGTATGCTAGCAAATATTTTGATGATCCATCTATTTATTATCATAGATGGCATGGTAATGCATCAGTTTATAATATTGTAACATAGAAAATCAGGAAAGGCAAACTTCAGGATGACACAGCAATTTATTTAAGACACAAATCAACATTTATAAGATACAAGTTAAGCAATGAGGGAAGTTTCCTGAGAATAACAAAATATAAACAATATAAATATAAAAAATATGAATACTCTGTATATAAAATATAATAAATACTTTGCTACAATATTTAATATTGTATTATTCCCGCCTGTCACGCGGGCGACTGGGGTTCGATTCCCCGCCAGAGAGCTTTTTTCATCGATTTTCCCATGTAGTCTAGTGTAGTCTAGGATATCTGGCTTTTACACAGAAGGCCCTGGTTCAATTACCGGCGTGTGAAACTTTTCGCTATACGTGGCAATTGGGGCTCTAAAATCATTTTTTTGGTTAGCAGCCCCGTAAATAAAGATATTTCCATTCCATATGTTGTTGTTGTCGTGTCCAATGAAGAGCCTCAGATGTCTTCATACATCTCTATCACTGTATGTCCTCTATCTTGGGTGTGTAAAGTTGCTGCTCTGGGTCCATGTCAATTTTCTGTTGTTGTTGTCGTGTCCAATGAAGAGCCTCAGATGTCTCCATACATCTCTATCACTGTATGTCCTCTATCTTGGGTGTGTAAAGTTGCTGCTCTGGGTCCATGTCAATTTTCTGTTGTTGTTGTCGTGTCCAATGAAGGGCCTCAGATGTCTTCATACATCTCTATCACTGTATGTCCTCTATCTTGGGTGTGTAAAGTTGCTGCTCTGGGTCCATGTCAATTTTCTGTTGTTGTTGTCGTGTCCAATGAAGAGCCTCAGATGTCTCCATACATCTCTATCACTGTATGTCCTCTATCTTGGGTGTGTAAAGCTGTTGCTCTGGGTTCATGTCAATTTTCTGTTGTTGTTGTTGTGTCCAATGAAGAGCCTCAGATGTCTCCATACATCTCTATCACAGCAGTGTTCTCTATCTTGGGTGTGTAAAATTGCTGCTCTGGGTCCATGTCAATTTTCTGCAAGGCTTCGGCCATTACTGGACATGAGAATATGTGAGTAGGTGTCAGTTCCACACCAGGACAGTTGTTGCATGTCCTATAAGTTCTTGTGCCATCTGGGTGTATTGTCATTCATTTATAGTGTTTTGTTCTAAGTCTTGTTATAGTTTTTGATAGTTTTCTCTCAGAGTTTATTTCACATATTTGATCTTTTCTTCCATTCCATATTTAATATATATTTGATATTCAAATATTCTGATAAACAATGTATCTTGTTTGTGGTTAGATAGATTTTGGTTAGAGGGTTCAGGTAAACATGGGGGACTAAAAATACGGTAGCACGCTAAACTGCAAAGAAAAATGTCTGAGACATGTGACCTTGGCATTCAAACAAGACTGCTGTAGCCGGGAATCGAACGCGGTTTCTTGGTCGTTGTCCAAGTTACGTTTGGTTAGTTAGTAACGTTAATGGATCATATTGTCGCGTATATGGCTCTGAAAACACCTACAACCTCCGCTAATAGATGGAGCTTTCGCTTATTTCCTGTCTGGAACTTGTGTGGATATCGCCGACTGCTGTGATCCTGTTTCTTGGAGCAAATGTTTGTAAATACATGTTTGTATTGGCTCTGGAGGGTAAATAAATGTAAATACCTGATTGGATATTATTCGAGTTATTATGTAACATGTTTTAAAGATGACAATAAGAGAGGAGTGTTAGAAGTCTTGTTGCCGGTTGCTGTTGTTACTCTCTCCAACGCCACAGTCGCTACTCTTCTGGTAAGTCTCTCGTGTCCCCCCACCAGTGGTAAGGCCGAGAGATACTGCCAGAGGAAAGGAGTTCCACTTGAGTAGTGGTTCTCGGAGGTCTTTGGGTGATCTGCAGGGTAGGGCTGCAGAGGGAGAGCAACAAGAGCCCAAGTAGGTGATCCACGAAGGAGGAAGCGGCGTCGTCCCGAAGAACCGGAGGGGTCACGCGTGACAATATCATATGCGAAATAAACTCTGAGAAAAGAATTACAATAACAAGACTTAGAACGAAACACTATAAAGGAATGACAATACATACAGATAGCACAAGAACCTACAGGACATGTAACAATTGTCCTGGTGTGGAACTAACACCTACTCACATATTCTCATGCCCGGCAATGGCCGAATCCTTGCCGAAAATTGACATGGACCCAAAGCAGCAGCTTTACACACTCAAGATAGTAGACATTACGACTGCTGTGATAGAGATGTATAGAGACAACTGAGGCTCTTCATTGAACACAACAACAACGACAGAAAATTGACATGGACCCAGAGCAGCAGCTTTACACACCTAAGATAGAGGACATTGCGACTGCTGTGATAGAGATGTATGGAGACATCTGAGGTTCTTCATTGGACACGCAACAACAACAACAATGGATCATAGAGTTAATTTCACGCCTAGAAACTTATGTTCATAATGTTCTGAAATATCTTGTCATTTTACACAATACACAACACTATATAAGAAATGGTAGCATCAAAAAAAAAAACACGATTATTTCTTTTTTAAACATAAGGAAAACTTCTACTATCCTTACTGCGGTGAAAAGAATATATTGGAAGGGCTTGAATCATCATTGGTGAATCCTCACAGCGGGTTTCACCAATATAATCTACCAGACCGCTTCTTTAGAGCTCTAATACTGTATTGGATCATTCTGCTTTTATGCTATACTGAAAAAAAGGGTGGAATCTTAGAAATGGTATTTAAGAAAACTATGTATATAGGATTTTAGGACAGTAGAATTATATGTGAATATTTTCATTGAGCAATGCTCTATCAAGATTGTTACTGCTCCCCCTCCTCCTTTTTCATCAGGAATTAGGACCGGCAAAAACAGAGTTAGTTTTAAAAGTAACTTTAAATATCCACTAATTAATCCAGAGCTGATCTTCAACTTCTCTTTGTTCATTTTAATGATGAACAATTGATGATGTCCGGATTGGGAATTAGGATGAGAGCTAATTGCATCAGTAATTAGTAGCTCATTAAGGTCGCACTTTCATTAAGCCTCAATAGCGGACTTTATCGAAGGTCTTGTACATTACAGCGTCTTTCTATCATCGTTTAAATTGAAGACAGAATTTTGTGTCTAGCGCCTTTACTCTTTTCCTTTATGCATACTCTTTAAGCCTTAGGACTGACCCATTGGTCCTGGGGTGAGTTATATTCTGCTAGAGAAAAGTTTGTTGGACACTATACCTTCTACACTGAAATCTGTAAGAGTTTGGATTCTCACATACATATCTCTACCATTTTATAGCCAAGAACTGAAAATACATAGTGAACGGGCAGTTTTTTAATCTACAAACCACCCATTCAAACATAGTTTGCTGTCTGCAGACACTTTTTAACACCTCTTGTTCTTCAACATTCGACTATTGTTAATTGTCTCAACCATTATTTTTACTATGCTCTCTGTTGGAAGGCTTTTGTATAAAAAAATAGGTTTTCAAAGAATTTAGTTCCGGATTGCCTTTATAACGTAACCATTATATAATTGCCCTAACAGATAAAACTTTTATTTATTTAACTGTGGAAATAAGCCATTACACACCTACAAATATAGTGTAGTTCATTGTTATGTCTACCTATCAACAGGGTCTATATGTCTTTTCCTTTAACTTGTGAACTATGTAATAGCAGAATATACAAGATGAAATCATGTATATAATATTTGGTTGCTTTGCCTGGAGAAACAAAGAGGGGAATTCTTGGGCGACTTATCGTTATCTCAATCCGATAGTCAACAAATATATAACTGAATGAATGATGTTTGATCAAGGTCTTTGGTTTATATAAATTCTACAAGACCGCAGTCATCGTTCGGAGGAGATTAATAGAATCGCCGAATGTCGTGATCCATTTGGATGAGGAAAGGGAAGACTAGAACGCGGCTGATTCCATACTCGTCTTTTCAGCGATACGCTAACCTATGCACGGTGGATTCTGTGGCCACTGGACATGCGTTGGACTTGGAGGCTGCTGAGTTCTGTGCTGCCTGGAGTATAGGAGCGCCATCTATAGTTCCTTCCTAGGGTGAATCTGTATAAGACCGGTGGTCTTAATAAAGCTTTATGTGTGTGTGTGTTCTCTCAATTCTCCCAGCTTCCACTGAGAAAGAGGTTTTTAGAAGAGCTATTGACTTTGATTAGCCGTAGGTATTCTGTTTTACTGTCTGCTCCATGTACAACTGGTGTAACTATACTTGTTCCATCGAGAAATCACATCCCGCTAATTCTTTCTCCTATCCTTATTCATTTATTTTTCCTTGAAGATAATAATTTCCTGGTACCTTGGAGAGAAGCCTTAAGTATTTCCTGGTACCTTGGAGAGAAGTCTTAAGTATTTCCTAGTACCTTGGAGAGAAGCCTTAAGTATTTCCTTGTACCTTGGAGAGAAGTCTTAAGTATTTCCTGGTACCTAGGAGAGAAGCCTTAAGTATTTCCTGGTACCTTGAAGAGAAGACTTAAGTATTTCCTGGTACCTTAGAGAGAAGCCTTAAGTATTTCCTGGTACCTCGGAGAGAAGACTTAAGTATTTCCTGGTACCTTGGAGAGAAGGCTTAAGTATTTCCTGGTACCTTGGAGAGAAGACAAGTATTTCCTGGTACCTTAGAGAGAAGCCTTAAGTATTTCCTGGTACCTTGGAGGGAAGCCTTAAGTATTTCCTGGTACCTTGGAGAGAAGACTTAAGTATTTCCTGGTACCTTGGATAGAAGGCTTAAGTATTTCCTGGTACCTTGGAGAGAAGACAAGTATTTCCTGGTACCTTAGAGAGAAGCCTTAAGTATTTCCTGGTACCTTGGAGGGAAGCCTTAAGTATTTCCTGGTACCTTGAAGAGAAGACTTAAGTATTTCCTGGTACCTTAGAGAGAAGCCTTAAGTATTTCCTGGTACCCTCGGAGAGAAGACTTGAGTATTTCCTGGTACCTTGGAGAGAAGCCTTAAGTATTTCCTGGTACCTTGGAGAGAAGCCTTAAGTATTTCCTGGTACCTTGGAGAGAAGACTTAAGTATTTCCTGGTACCTTGGAAAGAAGACTTAAGTATTCCTGGTATCTCGGAGAGAAGACTTGAGTATTTCCTGGTACCTTAGAGAGAAGCCTTAAGTATTTCCTGGTACCTTAGAGAAAATACCGAATTAACGAGGTGCCACTCCGCTGGGTTACAGAGTTTGTGTGAACTCCACTATTTGACAGATAATCTCGCTACCAGAGGGGAGGAATAACACACGCCAACAGGCTATCGAGGCTATTTACAAACGACCTTATCATCCGAGGATTCGAGATTACGTTGACTTCCAAAGGTTGTCCTGGATCTAGGC